GCGGTGCTATTATCGTTAGTTTCGTATTTTAAGAAACGTCGTCGTCGTCGTCGGACAAAAATGGCGTCTGTACCTGTTCATTTTTTGACACGAGAGGGCAGTGATACTCGTGCAGGCCGTGCACTGCGTGCAACGTAGTACGTGTGCGTTCTGCGCTCAGTGCAGATAAGACGTTCAGCCGGTTCAGCGCGCTGTCATTACTATGTTTACGCAAGCGTTATTTTTGTAGTACCTAACTTACGATAATTCCTCCGCGTAAACGGGGTTTGTGATAACTTACGATAATTCATTTTGTGTAAACGAGTGAATTATTGTAAGTTACTACAGAAGTAACGCTCGCGTAAACGTAAGTCAGTTATAACCTAGAAACGGAGTGTGACAGTCATGACCGTCGCCGCGTCGTGACAAATAGTGAAATATATAAGTATTGGTATTTATTTAGAATACGGGCCTGAACGCGAATATAGATGAAATTATGTTCAATCGACGCGTTTTTGCACAAAATGAAAGAATCTGACCGATAAACGCGGCGGTCTTTGCCTCGCGAAGCGAGATATTAATCGTTACAGTTGTCGACTATTCAGATTAGAAAATCTGATATATCAACGAAAATATTTTATTAAAATAAAATAAATAAATTTTTCTCGTAAAAAAATTTGACGCTGCTTTTTTACTCCCGTCACATTCTTCCTTAAATTATGTTTATTATTTTTTTATTAAATCAAAAATTTTAGTAATAATGTTTAAATTTTAATGTTTAAATTTCGAAGTCTAGCAGCGCTAAGTTTTTTTACAAAAAAATTTATTTATTTTATTTTAATTAAATATTTTTATTTTGTACTGTTACCTTTAATTCTTTGTTATTAAAGTGATTCTTTGGAATATTATAATTTTGTTAAGGAGAATTAAGAAGCTATTACCACTTGGGTTAGGATAGGACCCTTGAATGGAAACACAAAGATATGTACCACTTGGGTTTTATTTGTTAAAAGTAGTTGCACAACAATTATTTTTCAAAGCAATATATATTCTCTTTGCAATTGGCGCAATTTAAAGATTTCACATCTTTTTTTGAAATACATGTCACTTGAGTTGAGTTAGGTAACATAATTTTGTGATATAATAATTTTGTTAAGGGAGAAATTAAAGCTACTACCACTTAGGTTATATTTTTTGATTTATACATATTACTTAGGTTAAGCTATAGGTAATGTAATTTTGTAATGATATAATTTTGTTGAGGAGAAAAAGCTACTGCTTAGGTTGGATTTTTGAATTTACAAAATACATTGCGTGTACTTGGCGCCTTTTTTATTTTTTTTGAAAAAGGTTATTAGTATACGGAGATTTTTGGGATTGCTAATTGCAAATCTGAAATTGAAATTTAATAAATCAAAATGGCAGATTCAATATGGCAGCCAAATTGAAAAAGGATAAACTCTGGCTTATTTACCTACGTATAAAATTTTATATGTATGAGTTTTTTAGACTTTCATTATAAATCTGTTGCTAAAATTTAATAATACAAAATAGCGAATCTAATATTGAAGAAATTTTTGCTACTTTTTAACGAAAAAGTCTAATATAAATAAATAAAAAATACCTACATATATAGGTAGGGGAGACCAGGGACTAGAAGTCACACGGGTAAGTTGTCACAAACCTTATATCTCACCTAATAGACTAAGTGGAATATTCTTCTTTATAGTGTAAGTTGCTCTTATCGTGTTAGTCAGGTGTACGAAATAGCTCGTTTCAAAAACATCGCATGTGATATTTACGAGCACTTTTTAAAAATTGGAGGTCGTGAGTAAATTTTTCTTGCCTCTATTTTTATTGTTCTGTTGGTTTTTGAAATTACTAGTCGTAATTTCTTTTTGGTCATAAGAAATATTATAGTTTTAGATAATTTTTCCTGTATTTAGTTAACCGTCATTGCAACATAGTTTATAAATATAATGTTTATGAGAATTACACAGCCTCACAAAAAAAAATGAAATTTCTGTCCGGCGGACCAAACTAGTCATTTCTTACGTATTTTGGGTCGCTGAATCCAAATCCGAGGTCAGAATTCAAAAGTTGGTTCGTTTTTTTTTTTTTTTTTTTTTCCATCTCAAAAAAACATACTTTTTTAGTACATTTTGAGCCGTAATGAAAAAGCGCGAGCTAGCTTCGAAATTCTGACCGTGGATTCGGATTCAAAAGCTTGAATTACATAACAATTGACTAGATTTTTTAATACAAAAATGGCAGATCCAATATGGCGGATATTTCTTTAAATTGATCCGATTTGCTTGAAATTTAGTACTCGGGGGTTTTTGTGGTCGCTGAGTACGAATCTGATGTCAGTTTTTCAAAATTCAAAATGGCAGATCCAGTATATCCGATGAGTTTTTGAAAATTGACCAGATTCACCTAAAATTTGTTACTCGAGGGTTTTCGGGGTCGCTGAATACGAATCTGACGTCAGATCATAACATAATTACACTGAAAATGCAGTTTTTCCCACATGACTCCGAGAAAGTACAAATCTATTATATATATATTTGATGTCCAAGACCACAATAGAGTCAAAGTATATCCATGACTTGATCCTTCTGCAACTAGGGTACCTCCACGTGGTGACGGTGGGCAACGGATTTATTCCGGCGTTATAGATACGTATCTCACCCAGAAATTTCGCCTTTTTAGGGTTTTCAACCTAATACCTGCGATTGGTCTGATTACGTCACTCACACACACACTGAACTTGACGCAGCTTCATTTGAATGTTTTTTGAGATTAGAAAAAAAAACGAACCAACTTTTGAATTCTGACCTCGGATTCGGATTCAGCGACCCAAAATACGTAAGAATTGACTAGTCCGGTCCGCCGGACAGAAATTTCATTTTTTTTGTGGGGCTGTGTTATTATTCTTTTATTTACTCAAAGTTTATGAAAATATCACAAAGTTTATATGAGAATTATTATTCTTTCATTTACTCTAAGTTTATAAGAATTATATTACAAAGTTTATGAAAATTGTTAAGTTTTTGTTTAATTCATGCTGCAATATATTATTAAGTTAAATTTACCAAAAACTGACACTAACTTTAATAAAATATTAAAACAAGAACTATTGTTGTATGTTTCTTTTACATGAAAGATACATGACAATCAATCCAGAGTTATGTGACAACCAACCCCGGGTATGGGGTAAGTTGTCACATTTGCGCGGTTTTGCTTACAATTAAATAACTTTTTTGTGTATAAATATATACGTCTAATTTTTTTTTCTTACACCTAAAGGATGTAGGTACATTATAAAGTAGTATACGATATTATAAAATATTGCTAACATTTTTTTAAAATTAGTATTTGAAAAGTGTGACAACTAGCCCCGGTCTCCCTTACCGCAAATATAAATTAAATATAAATATGGCATGTATGGAACGAGATCACAAAACACCATAGTTCTCCCTTTAGGAATTTTCAACATAGATTACACTTATCCAACAAAAAGAAATTTGAGTGGCTACTAGATATAACCTTTCGAAACAAATATAAGAAAATCAATCCAATTAAATATTGTTGTATCCTTGATAACTCTAACCCAGGGAATATACGGTTCACAAATAACATTACAGCCATAAAATCGAATGAGTCCATTATTGAAACGTATGTCGATCCGAATAAATTTATAATCAATAATAATCTGTTAGATAACACGAACGACAAATGGTTCACTAATTTGTCTAACAAGGAAATTCTTTCTGAGGTCACAAACCTATTACAACTTGGAGGCAAGTTCTGTCTGCCGTTGAACCATAATAAAAAGAAAGCTATCCATGAATTTATCAAGGACATCGAAGGCAATACTAGACACCACAACATAAAAAATCTTTCTAAAATACGCAATCTTGTCATCCCGCAATTCCATAATTTCTTACATACGAATCCGAGTAGCGATACAATCAGCAATAAATTATTTTTAATGCAAAAAACGACTCAACGGAAATGTTGTTCTGTACTGAAAATGACGATATCATTTTCACAAGGAGTGACAAAGGTAATGTCACAGTAGCTTTAAATAAAAACATTTATGTACAGGAAATTGAAAACATATTAAATGATACCAATACGTACACGGTGGTCACCAAGAATCCGGCCAAACAAATAGAAAATAAACTGAACAACTTATTAAAGATATGGCACCAGAAGGATTACATTTCTAAACAAGATTTGTATAAACTCCGGTCTAGCGATTCCCTCCTACCTAAAGTTTATGGTCTCCCGAAGATTCATAAAGAGAATCACCCTTTTAGAATTATAGTCTCATCTGTAAACACAGTCTTATAGGCCTTCGCAAGATATCTGCATGGTATAATCTCGGAAGGCATTCCCCATGCGGTTGGTCACGTAGATAACAGTTTCGATCTGTACAGGGAACTTTCCAACAAAAAATCTCTAATTTGGATGTCCTGGTCTCATTAGATGTAACGTCTTTGTTCACCAACATTCCTCTGGATCTTACAATCAAAGGGGTTAGCAACCGTTGGCATCACATAAGTAAAATAACAAAAATACCGAAAAAAGAATTTTTACTAGCTCTCGAGTTTGTTTTAACGTCCACATTTTTCACTTTTAATAACGTGATATGCAGGCAAACCTATGGTGCACCAATGGGCTCGCCATTATCTCCGATCGTTGCTGACGTTGTGATGCAAGATCTAGAGGAAACGTCACTGAGATTGATTGGATTAACATTGACTTTTTATTGTCGCTATGTTGATGACATAATAATGGCAGCACCCTCTGATAAAATACAGGATATCGTAAACATTTTTAATAGTTATCACGAAAGACTAAAGTTTACTGTGGAATATGAGGTCGATCGCAGCTTGAACTTCTTAGATCTCTTTCCGCACGTTATTGAGAATACTTTATATATAGATTGGTATCAAAAGAAAATGTCCTCTGGTAGATACCTTTCTTACTACTCGGGTCACCCGGATTGTCACAAGATAGGTACTATATTCAGCTTACAATTAGTGGACAGAGCTATCCTACTGTCTCACCCCATGTACCACACAAAAAATTTAGTAATAATCATCAACATTTTACTTAATAATGGGTACCCTCTTGAACTAATCTTTAGGAAGGTCAGGCTGAGATTAAAATATCTGCATAACAATAAACTTGGACACACAGATGAAATTGAATCAGTAAGTCAACATAGCGACGACGCACTACAGAGTAAAAAATTCATTGCCATTCCGTTTATAAAAAACATATCCAACAAAGTCGCCCATTTACTTAGCAACGATGAACTTATGGTAGGATATAGAGTGTTAAATAATCTTGGCAGGTTTGTTAAGGCACAAAAAGACAAAAATCCCGGAAGTTCGAACAATAATGTAATTTACAAAATATCGTGTAAAGATTGCAGTGCTTCCTATGTAGGACAGACAAAGCGACAATTTAAAACTAGATTAAACGAACACAAAAATAACATAAAAACGGTTCCATCGAGGCATTCTGTGATTTCCGAGCACATTACAAAATTCAACCACACTTTCGATTGGGACAATACAGCGATACTCGAGTCTGAACCAAATTATAAGAGACTTATATCAGAGATGCTACACATCAAAGAACAAAAAAACGGGATCAATTCTAATACAGACACAGATTATCTGGATGACTCATATTTTAGTGTACTTGACGAGCTAGCCAATAACAAGAATTTCAACTAATTTTCAGTTTATGTATACACTGTTTTGTTTATAACTCTGTTCGTCCCGACAAACCGCGCAGTCATTCGACATCCGTAACACGAGAAAGAGCATTACATCGCAAATTATACGTCCTGACAGATACATGTAAGTTTTAACAGATTTCATACTTAAGACAATTAATTCATTTACACACGATCTCCTTTCAGACAATCCTTTTATACTTTGACCATACAACCTGACAAAAACAACACTTCTTATGGACTGGACCTGATTTATTCTCGCCTCCGAACGAGGAATTAATTATGTAATTTTGCTGACTATAATTTATCTCCGGTTTTGACTTCATAGATGCAACGACAAAAACTCAATATGTATTCGTTAGGCTCTCGAACGGTGAAGTGGCTCTATAGGTTTAAGAATTTTATATTTTTGTAACTACGACGAATATGATATTTTATACTACGGCTGAAGAAGACTCGGTGAAGTCGAAACGTTCCGTTCTTTGTACATATGTTAATTAATTACATGGTTTAACATCTACGAATGCTCGATCATTGGCCTTTTTCTTTTTAATTTTTATATGAGCTTTTATACGAGCGTGATTATTATTTTTATTTTTAAATATAAATAATTTTTCAAAATTCTTACGGAATAAGTCAAATTCCGCTTGTAATAAAATTGTATTTGAAAAGTGAAAAGTAATAGAAATTATCAGTGGCAAAAGCAAAAAGACGGAAAAATAATTACATATTTATGTTACGTTCAGGTACACATACAAGTCTTAGAAACATAACGATACGACAAATATGTTACACAAGTCAATTATGAAATACGTAAAAATATTATTATTATATAATTAAAATAATATTATTATAAAATACGAAAAATTGCGAAAAAATAGGTCTTCAAGTAGGGACACTATGCAACAAAGAGTTAATAACAAAACGTAAGCTGTAATTCAGTGGATGAGTAAATTTCTTTTCTCATATTCTCGAGAACACAATCTTCCTCAAAGGCAGTCCATGAAGGAAAGATCGTTCTCTTCCTGGTCGCCGCTGGTCAACGAAATTTTGCTGTCCTTCGAATAACGGTCGATGTTTAACACTTCGGTCACTTCCGGCCGGAAGTGTATAAGACTGCGGTAGCGGAAGCCACTATCGTCGTTGGCGAGCATACAATATCGATCGCTTCTCCACGGCGCGGCGGCGTGGCGATGCGATGTTATCGCCTCACAGTGCTCTTTCGCGCATTTACGAAGTACGAAGCACTTTACAGTCAAAGTAACACGCGGAATAGCCGATGGATTTGCTGGCAGCCGTATCACGGAACAATGTCGGCCTTTTCCGCGAAGCAGCAAGTTTTGAAATCGTGAAACGCAAATGCGTCTCATCTTCGTTCGCCTTCAATCGAATCGGAAATGAAAACTAGGATAACACACGGAGCCATAATTTCACTTCTTAATTTAAGTTAATTGAACGGAAAACGCACATTATTATTATTATTATTACTATATTATTAAATTATTATTATTATTACTATTACACTGTTTAACAAAAAAAATGCACAAAAAACTAGTTGTTTCTGGTAGTTTTGCTTTCTTATAGAGGAAGCTTTGTTTTCGTAAATCTCGTGTATGAACCTTCGATCGCGTATAAAGCTAGGTCTAATCAACCAAATCTTAAAGAATTACATATGAAATAGGAATAGAAAAAGTCGAAAAAAATTATTTTTTTAGTTTTTGATGCCAATCCCTTACAGAAATTTAATACTGTAAGTAATTATTTGGCTAGTGATTATAATTACTTATTTCGAGTATTAAAAGTACTGTTTTTAATGATTTTAATACTCAAAATAAGTAATTAATTACTAGCCAAATAATCACTTACAGTATTAAATTTCTATAAGGGATGTGTTCTGAATGTTCTAAAACGTTGAAAAAATGCATTTAAAAAATGTCCGTGTGTGTGTGTGCGGCGTGTGCACGTGCGTGCGCGTGCGTGCGTGCGTGCGTGCGTGCGTGCATGCGTGTGTGTGCGCGCGCGTGTATGTGTGTACACATTTATCGATCTATAACTCAAAAACTAATCAACCAAATGTTAAAGAACTATATATGAAATAGGAGTAGAAAAGACTAAAGAATATAGTCGCATCCGCATACGCATCTATGCCTATAACTATATATAGATATTTGAGTTGTCACTTTCGCCCCGCGTTACTTTTGACCCCACTCTACCCTATAATAGTTTTTTAGCAAAATACATAACCACACACACAATTTCTGCCGTAATAAAGTATAATATCCCTCTAAAACACGCACTTTGCCTATACCTTACATATATAAAATTCGTAACTTCGATATTGAATATCTCGACTTCGGTATCGGCACGGTTCTTACAATTGAGGAGGTGTATAGATAACACTATTACGAGCATATAGTCCAAAGTTCAAGCAAATACATAGAAAATCGATTAACCGATGAACGTTCTTAAAGGAAAGTTAGTATTGATTTTGACGATGATCGGTAAAAGGGTTCTTTCTTTAGGTATAAAATTTTAAATTTTTTGAAAAATGTCCGTGGTTGTTCTAACTTCCGCCAATTTTGAGATATCGGGCTATTTATAATTCTATTATTTATATTCTTCAGTCTTTTCTACCCCTATTTCATACCTATGTGAACTTAGAGCACCCGACTTTCATATATATTATGACTATTTTATATACATATAATTCTTTCAGATTTGGTTGATTAAACCCAGCTTTATATACGCAATCAAAGGTCCTATGCGAAGTCCATATATGGACCATACAGCTTGAACTCCCAAAGTCAACATCGATTTGACATTGCATCGATTGTAAAACCCCACTTGGACTAAGCTGACTCTCTATCAATTCATAAAAAGGTTAAATTTAAAATTTTAAAAAATGTGCAAATTAGGAACTTGCTTCCTCATCATTACAGATCGCTACCATTGCTCCTATTTTATTTCGCTCATAAAGCTCCCTCTATGAGGAAGCCAAACTAATATAAATACTAATAATTATGCATCAAATAAAATACAAGCTTCCTTATAAGAGGAGCTTTGTGAGCGAAATAAAATAAGAGCAATGGTAGCGATCTGTAATGATGAAGAAGCAATGTGCAAGTTTCTAATTTACACACTTTTTTAAAATTATGCTCCTGTTTTGGAATGCGCTGAATACGATCCCGTTTACAAAATTACTCTATCACGTCACAATTTTAAGAAAAAACTTCGCCAAAATAGGCCATTGGCGCACAACATTGAATTATATGCCATTTTGTAGGTATTGTTGTGTACTTACATCATTAGAAAAATAAGTTTAGGTGGGCGTTACCGGTTCAATTACCAGTCTTAATACCTATTTATTACTCACCGTCATAACTGTCACAAAATGATATTTTTATATCTTTCACATGCACTGATGGCAGCTTGATTCTTGCGTTTGAGTGTTCTTTTTTTCCCCGAACTGGCCGCAAGCAGTCGACTTATTTAGCCGAACAAACCAATAAGTTTGTTTACCGCCATCACTACGGGAAAGTACCCTGGGCGCAAGGAGAAGTCTGGGTAATATTATAAAATACATTATTTTATGTAAATCTACTAATCTAGTGATATTATAATATTTAAGTTAAATAGTGTAAAGTTTTTAGTGCCAATTAGCTAATATTACAATATGCGAAATTTACGCTCCAGAAAGTATCTTTTTCACGTTTTTGAGACTTGAGATTATATTATTGTTATTTCTATCAACATCTTCTATAAATGCATATAGAAGTCAAATGTGCGTGTTTATGGCCTTTTAATAAAGGTTCTTTGCAGTTAAAATTGCAAAAATGGGCGATTATGTCAATATGGCGGGTATCAAAAGTAAAAATTTGAACATTATTTTTGATATTTGCCATATTGGCTCTGCCATTTTTTATTTATCATCTTTGACATCAGATTAATTTTCAACGACCTGAAAAATTCTTAAGATTGAATAACATAATTTAAAAATATTTTGTAGATTCTTAATGGTCGCAACTTTGACGCAATAGACTCTATGTTAATCATCAACATCTTTTTAACCATAATCGACACAACAAATTCGTGTTAAGGTGGTTCTCTTGTCCTTATACTAGAGAAAATCGATTTTCTATAGATTTTCTTGAAACTGTGAATATATATGTTAATTTAGGTGTGGCTTATGCGTGGTATAAATTTCAGTACCTCCTCCGGTATAAAAAATCGAGATACTGAGCCTCAAAGTCTCAATTTTTACCAAAAAAAAATTTTAAATTAAATTTTTTTAATTTTGACATTTTTTCCTTATAGAACTCGACGAGAGGAGCAACTTTGGTCCTTTTGGTTAACCTCGTACCTCTTACCGTTTGGCCTGGATAACCTTTTCATTAGTAAAAGTTGAAACTTTGAGGCTCAGTATCTTGATTTTAATACCGGAAGAGGTACTGAAATTTATACCACGCATAAAGCACACCTAAATTAACGTATATTCACAGTTTTAAGAAAATCTATAGAAAGTCGATTTTCTCTAGTATAAGGACAAGAGAACTACTTTAAGAGCTGAAAATCCCAACAACATATTTAATTTTGATTACAATTAAACTTCTCCAACACGTCACATATTGTATAATTATAAGATAGCCCATTTTTGCAATTTTAACTGCAAATTTCTCAATATTGTGATGTAATAGAGCAATTTGGCAAGAACGTGACATATTGATCCCGTGAGGGATTGGGAATCATCTTAACCAAAAAGAAGAAGGAGAAGCAATTTGACAAACGGGATCGTATTCAGCATCCAAGAAACTACCGGAAACGACTAGTTTCGTTCTTGTGCTCGAAAAAAAGTAATTTTTTGTTGTGTTGTAAATAACAATAACAATGTTATTGTTAATAACAATGTTATTGTTATTAATATTAGATTGTTAAAATATGAGACCTACCTTTGGTTTCAAGCCGAATAAAATAGGAATAAGTGAATAAAAATCCCGATTAAAGCGATCGAAATGTATAGTGCCATAAACATTAATATAGCTTGTATTATACTTTAAAAAAAAATACGTATATCTCTCTCTCGAAATTATGTAAAACAGTTAATCCTTTCGGCAGCAACCGGAACGCGAACGGCTCTCTAGTGGCCGAAGCGTCGATCAGGTCGATCTGCCGATATACGTGATTCGGCCGAGAGAGCTAGGCACTCGACATTCAACGCTTTCAATTATTACGTAATAACACTCAATAATAAAAACATTTAAAAAATTTATCAACAGAAACATTTCAAGTTAACATTTCAAGTTGCTCGGCCGCAGTGAGCAGCATGTGGGCAGTGACTATAATCACTGCTCGGCCGCACCGAGCAATATAATGGACAGTGACTATAGTCAATCTCCGTACTGAAAGAGTTAATAGCTAACAGCTAATGCCATTCAGATTCTCGAGGAATCCAAGCGCCCGATAAATGCAATAAGGAAATATCGATTATTCTCTTATTCTTCGCAGATCCAAACGAAACGTGAGTTATTCTTCAAGGGCGACAGCACGGGGATAATCTCATCGCCGTCAGTGCCGTCGGTGCCGCCACCGCAGCCGCCGACACAAATCCCCGGCTCTCAGGTGAACAATTTGTCGTCGGTGGCGAACGCCACGACAGCTAGCAGCAGCCTCACGTCTCCGAACACGGCGCCGGTATATTCGAGCGGGGCCCTGACTGGGCTCAACGCAAAATCGCGGCTGCCGGCCGCAGCAACGACAATCCCGAACGACGCCTCGGAGGACAGCAACAGGCGCGAATCGGCACGTACCGCGATCTCCTCCAAAGAAGACAGCAACAAGGAGACTAGTCTGCTGCACCATGCGCGACCCACTCCGCCCACCAAACCCAAGGAGCTCGACGGCTACGTCGGCTTCGCGAATCTCCCCAACCAGGTCTATAGGAAGGCCGTAAAGAAGGGCTTTGAATTCACCCTCATGGTCGTAGGTCAGTGATAGTTCGTAATAAAAATTCCGATAAGTTGTTCGCACGATTAAATAATTTTGACACGAATTGTACCTACAAGTTATTAATGACATAGTTGTATTAATATGGATTTGATAATTTGTGGTTTAATTGTAACCGGGAATTATTACTCTCGAGAGTAATGAATCAACCGATATTTATGCTTTGTAAAATATGCAAACGCGTACACGAGAATTTTTTTTAAAGCAACGTTTGTTCGAATGGATCGATAAGACATAATCGCGGTGGCCGTGGAAGCACTGCGGAGTACTATCGAGGTCGAATCTCTGTTTGCGGCGGGAAACGCGATCCCACTTCACGGGAGCTGGGCATTAAAATGTCTATTATGCGGCAACGGAAGAACAACGGCCATCTGTCTCGCGAGAGCTAGAGCTAGACCGGAAAAAGGACAAAGGAATCCGTTTCTTCGGTAGTTGCAGCGGTATTCCCATTTTGGGAATATCATCTCGCGATGCAACCTCCCATCTGCCGAGCACGTGCGAGTTTTTCTCTGTCTCTCTCGTTTAGTTCTCTCCTCGTTCGTCAGATCAAGGTTGTCGCCGAGGTTCAGCGGTTCTCACGCACATGCTCGTCCGCGGAACACACTCAATTCCAACCTTCGTCGACGAATCCTCCTGTTGAATCCTTCCTCTACGTCGATTTCGTCGTTATTTATTGCAAATTATCAGTGGTCAATTTGCGGCAATAACGCATCGCGTAGCGACTTTGCAACTTCACCGATTGAAAAAAGCCATAAATCGTTAATTGCAGCCTGTGTTTCCTTCTCTCTGCCGCTCTTAAATTTATCACTTGGCTCCGATTTCCTCAACGGGTAGAGCGGTGTAATTGAAGGCCGTTAACATGAGAATATGACGTATTTGTCCAGTTATCTATATTTCTTATGACAAATGATAAAGAGGCTTTTATGAAATAAAATTAGTGTGTGCCTGAAAATATATTATATGCAATAATGACACGGAAAACATTTTAAGAATCGGCCGGGAATTCGAGAAGGAGGCAGTGACAAAAGTGCTGACTAAACAGTCGATCTTGAACAAAGCGCATGCACGCGGGTGTGAAAGAGTGTCATTGGGTCTGGAGAAATTTGAAACCGTGGTCTGCTACGTGCAGGGGCTATTATTAGCCAGCAAGCGGAGCCATTTCTCCGTAAATAGAGCAATTCAAGAGCTTATCCTTGGCTGAAGGTGTAGGCGCGGCACTTCGCCTGGTTCAAGGTTTGCGCATTAAGAGGTCATGGCATTCGTTTCATCTCATTTCATTTCGGTCACCGAATTTATTTGACCGCGGATCCATTAGATCCCCGTGGGACATCTTATTGTTAAAAATGTCCATTTTAAATACTTGGACTGAGATTAATGATCGTTGTCTCGATGACGTTTAATAACTAGGAAGTTCTTCAAGTTGTTTTTGAAGATTACAACTTTTAGATGCATTAATTTACAGAAAATATTTATGAAACAATATCCTTGCAGAAGGATATATTTTTTGAAAGAAATTAATTGATATATTTTAGTTAATATATTTCAATTGATTTATTTCAATTGATATATCTTAATTGATATATTTAAAATTTTTTAATATTGCACGATTAATTAATAAATATCTTTTAGAATATTTCTATAATTAGAACTATAGAGTGTACATTTCTGTAAATGTTTAATCACATTATGTGAGTCATTAAGATATGTATTTTGCTACGCTGTAATTATATATAATTTGCGTCATCTCTTATTCAATTTTTTTAATTTAAAAAATCTCGCACAAATTAAATTATCCCAAGATTACATATATCTATCAAAGCGTGCTAAAGAGTCTTTTAAATTTTTTATAGGGGAGTCGGGTCTCGGAAAATCCACCTTGATTAATTCCATGTTCCTGGCGGACATATACAGTGCCGAATATCCCGGACCTAGTCTCAGGATAAAGAAGACAGTTGCCGTGGAAACTAGCAAAGTGTTACTGAAGGAGAATGGCGTCAATCTTACTCTCACGGTCGTTGATACCCCTGGTTTCGGTGACGCTGTGGACAACAGCAACTGGTACTACATCCACTGACAAAGCGATAAAAAAAGCTCGCGATTAAATTCCATCAAATCCATCCGTCTTTGGACAGCTTACTTAACATCATCTATTTTTGTCCAGTTGGATGCCAGTAATCGACTACATCGAGTCGAAATATGAGGAGTTCCTCAACGCGGAATCCCGCGTGACGAGACGGCAGATCCCAGACAGTCGAGTGCATTGCTGTCTCTACTTCGTCGCGCCCTCTGGTCACGGATTGAAGCCACTTGATGTGGAGTTCATGCAGCGTCTCCACGACAAAGTTAATATTATACCTGTTATTGCTAAGGCAGACACCATGACGCCGGATGAGTGCGCACACTTCAAGAAACAGGTATAATTCATTTACAATACATTATAATTAAAAAAAAAGAAAAAATCTTGTTTGTCTGAAAAGTATAGGAGATATAAAAGTAATACATCACAATCAGAAGTTATTGTAAAAATCTTTAAGACTTTCTTAATTTAATAGATAAATCTGTAAATAAAATATATTTAAAAGCAGTCCAATAAGTCTAAACTTCTTTTCATGTATTTTCCTTTGTAAATTATTAATTTAATTATTGTCTCATTTTCCAGATCTTGAATGAGATTGCGCAACACAAAATAAAAATCTACGAGTTTCCGGAGGTCGAAGAGGAAGAGGACAACAAATTCCATAAATTATTAAGGGACAGAGTGCCATTCGCAGTCGTGGGAGCGAATACAGTCGTCGAACACGATGGGAAGAAAGTGCGAGGAAGAAAATATCCATGGGGAATTGCAGAAGGTACATACATATTTTTGAATCGAAATAATTGGACGATAATTTATATTGCTGGATAAAAATAATCATTTAGATAACTACAGAATAGCTCGTCCAGCTAGTTTTTATATCTTCAAATTTTCCATTTAAACGTTTAACTACACTTTATTTCACTTCTGTTATATCTAGTTTAAGAGTTTCTTTGCGCGCTCTTACACTATCTATATTAATATAAAATAAATAGTATGTAGAAAATAAAATTAAATAGATAAATAAACATCTAAGGGTCATTCGAATCTTAGAAATATGATCGGTATATTCTTTCTTTATATGTATAAACTGTATATATCGTTTTTTTATCATTTGTTTCTATTTCATTTCCGTGCGAAGTTGAGAATCTAGAACATTGCGACTTCATTGCGCTCCGAAACATGGTAGTAAGAACGCACGTGCAGGATTTGAAGGACGTGACGAATAACGTGCACTACGAAAACTTCAGGTGTCGCACCTTGGCCGGTCTAGGCGTAGACGGCAAACCAACAAAGGCCTCAAATAAGTAAGTAACAATTCATGGGATTTCTCATTATTCGTTTGATTACTGTATTAGAATAGTTTTGTCAAAAAGTAGATGTGTCTTGTTCTCTGTCGAAATAGATAAATCGAGCGTCATATAGTTAAATGAAGAAAAAAAATAAAATGTGCTAATTATTTATGTAAATATCTAGAGTAAATCCGATCATTCGTTGCTAGAGTCAAGTGATAAAAACTACAGCCCCAAAAACAAGTGTCTATGACAGCCGTTTAGTCTCATATCGGCGTAATGCGGTCTAATTTATTAATTCACCTGTCCCTAAGTGGCGCAATATTAATGTTATTGCCGGACGTGATAAAGACGACGGGGACGACTACTTATCTCCTTTAGTAGGGCTCGCTCGCTGTTACGACGCTCACTTTTTCTATTCGAAACATAAGCAAAGTTGTTTCGTTGAGTTTGATTTGAGCACGCAGTGTGTATCTCGGCGAAGCACTCGACTGTGTATGCGTGATGAAATGATCGTTTATCTCGAGCTTCAGTATTACCAATAATACGACGCTGTGATTCTTGCGAGTCGATTGCGTGTAACCGTTCGAAACATGCTTGTATCACACGGTATATTTCTGTCTTTCCATTTTTTCTTATCGTCCTGAAGAGAATTCAGAGAAAGGTTGTGCATGCAAACTATTGAAGTCCCCAGTGACTCTCGCGTTTGAACTATCTTAGCGTATCTCGATCGCGAGCGAGATCTATATCCGTAGATTAGACACGAGAACGCTGCCGAGGGAGCGGAAGGGACCAACGAACCAACCAACCCTTCGACAGCGTGTCGCCCGTGCGAATTTTAATGGTGAATTTCTTATTGGTCAGTTTGTGCCCTCCAGGAGTGATGAACAGTTTCATGACGGTGTGGTAAGTCCTTCAATAAGGCTCAAAAGGATATATTATGGTTTTGTGTGCACAAGCCTTGTCGAGTTTCGAGACTTTTCCCGTGATCTTCCAATCTAGGAGGACTCACTGCGCTGAGTACATCATAAGATTAAAAGCAAAAAAATGTAATAAAAGAATATTAAAGAAAATTAATGAAACAGACATCGTACGCTCTAAATCCGCTGACCGTAATTTTAATTGATTTTTATATCAGGATAAATAATTAAATTGGAATAGTAATTCAATTATTTCAGTTTATAACTTATACATATAAGAGCCGTGCATTTTCTCTCAACTCTGTATTTGTGTAATGACTGTAATGCATTCTATAAATATAAAATTAAAATGCATCTGATTTATATATTGCGAGAGATCGATCTAGCGCTTACATTTGATACGCCCAGTGAGCTCTCCGAAGTAATACTTGATACAAATTATTGTATGTTATTTAAAAAGAGAGCAACTAGTACATTAGATTTTCCACATTGAACGTAACACTATTTAGGTTTGCTTGACACCCTTATATTTATGTGCGTTTATTTTTGCATTAGTATTTATAACACAACATGTAACAAGTAGTCCCCTTACATAACGAGGAAGCATATTTAGCTACTTTTACAATATCTTTTATAACACCTGTAAATATATTGTGGCTTTGAATATTTCACTATGGTAATCTTCCCTAATTTGTATCGCAATAAAAATATAAGAAAGAATTAATATTGTCAATGATGAATCGGTGATACATAGAATATTCTCATACTATTTAATAAACGCTGAACGCAATATAAATATATAAAATTATATATTTCTATATATGTAGTAATGATATGCGCTGCATGAATTTTGTAACAAACCTCCGGAATGTAATCGGATCTCATGTATTTGGAGCATTGTTTTAATTACCATGATACAATAATGAACCAAATATTATCTGTAATTTGCGTGACATCAATTCGACGCAAATCCAGGCTCCAGCATTTAGCCCTTAACTGATTACAATCCCAAAACACTTACAAGCTTATCGCCGATGGATTGTCTATTCTATCGCGCTATTACCGAGAATAGTTATTCTATTGTTATTTTTTATCTCTCACGGTAAAGAATACATTTATAGAAAATATGTGTCTCTATTTCTCGGAATATTCGTAGCCTCGTCATACCGAACGTGTGACTTTTCCATGATGATGCCACGTCGGTTAATATGATTTACCTACTGTTATCTCTTTGCAGCATCACATGTAATCATTATTCAATAATTCGCTCATATATAAAAATTATTTCTATATTAATACAATTGTAGTAAATTAATTGTGTAGTTAATTAAAGTTTTTATAGTCTCTTTTAAAGGACCGAAAGTTTATCTCACCAGAATTTAAAGGATGAAATTCCGAAATTTGTACTGCAAAGAGCTAACGAGATTTTTCATGTGAGATTAAATATAGTAGTAGCGCTCATTAACAATTAGCTATGTGCCGAACGCTCCTAAATGTCACACACGTTATTCTATATCCGTATTCCGTATTCCGTATTCCGACGGTACGGTATCCAGTATTTCATTAGTTCATACATTTTATTTTGAATCTACTTGAATCTTTTTAGGAACCCGTTGGCGCAGCTGGAAGAGGAGAAGCGTGAGCACGATAACAAGATGAAGAAAATGGAAACGGAGATGGAGCAAGTTTTCGAGATGAAAGTTCGCGAGAAGAAGCAAAAGTTGAAGGATTCCGAGGCGGATGTAAGGCAAACATACCACCGATATTACTTTTTTTTATCCTAGGATTATATAAGTCAAGATTAGTGAAAATTCGCTCAAATTGTACGACTATTATCATTGATCATTTAATTAATTAAAAACTAATTTAGAATTTTAGAAGATAATTTTATTTGATCAATGTTCTCGTTTGCTCCAATACGAAATTATTCCCAACTGGCGCGAATTTTTGTCCTATCTCTAGTGGTGTTTGTTATTATGCATTATTTGGCGAAACGTAATTGTTCGAGTAACACTAATATCGAGATACGGGAAATTCGGAAAATAGTTACAGAGAAGGCACGAACAAATGCGACGCTCGTTGGAGCAGCAAGTGCGCGAACTCGAGGAAAAGAGACGAGCGTTTGAGGTGGAAAAAACTGCCTGGGAGCAACAGACCGGCCACAGTATTGAAGAATTACGTAGACGCAGCTTAGAAGCGAATTCGAAAGAGTAAGTAGCCTATACCGACGAATACGAGAAAAGTTGTTGTGTTTTTTGCACTCTTACACGTTTATTTCTCCATAATATCAAGGAAGGTATATCGTTGTTTCTCGCACGAAATTTTTTGTTGGAAATGTCTTTATATTCAGCTTTATTCTGATTTTTTTATCGCTAATACAAACGATCAACGAAGTTATACATATATATCGCTTGATGCTTAGCCGCTGGTGATTTAGTATGGTTCTCGGAGTTTAGATAACCGGTTTGATTGACGCAAAAAGCATACAGCGCAATTAGAGTCTGACGCAGCTTGATAGCTTTCTTGTACACTATGTTCTGCCACCGTATCTTCTTCCGGCTGCGGAATCGTTTATCAAAAATGAAGTCGAGTTTGCCGTAACGAAGTTATAGCGAGATCTCATTACGGAAGCTATTTAATATCATTAAACAAAGCTCGATGAATTGAAATTGTAAAACAAATCTACGATACTTAACGCTTTATATAACTTCAAATGCTTTAAGGGGGTAGACCACTGTGTTTCAGGATAATTTTCAGGAATTAATTTCTAACAAAATATTTATGAAACATTAGTAATTTTTTTTTATTATCTTCTATACACATTGAAGAACGTGTCAAAATTTTGTTGCCTAAATAAATATAAAACTCGTCGAGTTAAGCCGCTTCGCGCATCCCTATGACTTTCGGATGGTGTACATGATTTCGCGAAAACCAGTCGTCTGAAACAAAAATAAAAAATATGCTCATTATCTACATTGTATTGGCTTTCGGCTGACGGAGCATTTTATTTTTTTTTTTTCATTTTTGGCGACGAGAAAAAAATTCCTGAATTTTTTACTGCAATTGAGCAAAATTCAGGAATTTTTTTCAATGTGTATAGAAGATAATAAAAAAAAATTACTGGTGTTTCATAAATATTTTGTTAGAAATTAATTCCTGAAAATTATTCTGAAACACAGTGGTCTACCCCTTTAAAATAACTTCAATTAAAAAAATGTTTTTTGTAAAATATCGCAATATTCTTATCAAAAAGGTCTCGAAGAAAAATTCATAGGTAAAAGAAAGATACGATAGTAAGTACACATTGTACAATATAGACTTCGTTCTTGCTATTTTGTAGTCGCTAATAGTGTCTAGATTTTGATGTGCAATTTAATAGTTGTCGCACTGCAATACATTCCATTCACGCTTGATATTTATGACCCTTCACATCCCAATCACTTTCACGAAGCTTGCACTAATAATGGAATAATAATCGTTATCGATTCGACCCTAAGATTATCGTCGCCGAATGAATTTTATTTTACAATTTATATTCACGCGATATTAACCGCACATGTATATATTATGACTTTTACTCGCATAATTTTCGTGCATTTAGCGCTGAATGAGGCTATTTCCTGTAATTTTAACTTATAGTAAGATATTGGATTATTATTAAATGTGCAATATTAGATAGATATTAAACGTTTTTTCTTTGAATTCAAGCAACGCGATTGTTGTTTAAAAGACATCGAAAGGAGTCCGAGAAATATCTTTCTTTAAATTAAATAATTGGGTCGAGATCCGATGAGCACATTCAGCACTAAATCGCCGCTGACGTTGCTGCACCGTTCCCGCGGAATCAGAAAGGAACAGAAAACTCGTCGCACAAAGAACGTCAGCGGCGTTCTCCAGAGGACCATTCAATGTCCCGTTGCTAATCGCGCGGGTCATATAGGCTTAATTTCGCGCATATTTTTTACATCCGGATGTACGTAGCTTGCTACCGGATATACGTTCGCCAAAAAAGTCCGATTTGTTTGTCTCTCTTGTGTGTATACCGTATCGGGGTATCCTCCTGATCTAGGACGGGATCGATGTCCTCCGAGGGATCTGGAGGCGGCGGGGGTACGTTGAGGGGGCCCCGAGGGATAAGCAGCCTCCTTCGCCGTCACACCAGTTTCAAATCACCTCAAGACAGCCCCGCACAGATACAGCTTGTCATACAGCATCCTGAGCACCCTTAATAGAGACCGTCTCCTAGAACGCTCTCGCTCGCTTGCGAGACCCGTTCCGAGATCACCGCGCAAACTTCTCGCGCTCGACCCTTATCAACCCTTATCCAGTCGAGATTGTCCTCTCTTTTGAACAGCGACAGGATCACTCGAAACTTCTCTTAGATCAACAAGAGTGAAAATCAAAATAATTTAGATTAGTCGGTGGCTCAAATCAAAATAGTAAAATTGAAGTCTTTTGTTTTCGCTATACACACGCGACATCGATCGCCTGAATAAGGGTTGAGAAAAATCTTATCATCCTCGAGAAGAGTAAGTGTTGCCTATCTGAACGATTCGTCGACGTTACTTCAGCAGTGATTAAAGACAGAAATAAAAAATCCCTTTCTTTTGAATATTATTATCTTTGATTTGTTACCAGTTTACCTTCATCTTTTCAAGACTGCAAATTTTTAACAGAGACATCGAATTAATTCTTTTATGTTCCAGATATATAATTTTTTATTTTTAAGCTTAGTGATTGAATCAATTTCTTTTGATTTATGGCCTTTCTCAATCAATTTTGAACTTTTGCGTTAAATGGATCTAAAAATTGTAAATATACCCTGTATATTACAGGGTATAAGCTGCACTTACTCGCCCTGAGGCGCGTGTGCGTGCGCCTCACCCATTCGAGACCTATCGTAATCCAAAGTGATTGTATGTTTCTAACAGTCCATGAGCCCGTCATACAGCCATCGTACGACATGAGACGTGTGTTTACAAGCGCGATGCAGTAAATCTTTCCGCTATTTTATATTCGATCGTATCGCGTTTACTTCACTCGCTATCGCGTCTCATTCGCGCATTAATTAATGGAATAATAATCGTTATCGATTCGAATTAATTATTATGTCGACGACCCTTGTTGGAAGACATTGCGTACAACTTCAACGTACATTTAACGCTAATTAAAGCCGAGAAAAGTAGGTTTGGAATGTCTTGGAAAACATGGAAATCGCACGGCAAGCAGTTGCATTCTTGGACGAAGTTAAAGTCAGTTTCTTACGTTGTGCGAATATCTAATTAGCGAGTATCTCTGTAATCGAGCGGCTATTTAGTATGTATTTGCCAAATTAAGCTTTAAGGAAGGTCTTAGCATGTTTCTAGAAACATGCTAAAATTTCAAATTATGATGCGAATCTTGCTTTGATAAAAGTTGAAATCGATACCTGGCAACATTTGATTAACAGTAAATTAATTGAAAGAGCAGGAATTGGCGCAAGTCGAAAGAAGCTTGTCGTCGGAGATTAAAATTGAGAGTCTTGGCTTGGAAAGTTAAGAAAGTTTCGTTGCCAAAATAAATTATGTCCTAAATTTCTTACACGACGCTCATCCCAGCTGGTTTTCTCGTTTTCCCGGACACCTCGTTCTCGAATCTACATTCCTTCGTTGTGTCATTATGCGTCTCGTGTTACACGATGTACGTCTCAAGCGCGACTCGTTACACGTATATTTTATTCGCGAAATCTTACTTACTTTCGTCACCGCATCGCGTACACAAATGCGAACTTTCAGTAAATCGTGGTCTGGGCGATACGCACACAACTTATAAGGTATATACATATATATTCAGGGGGTATTATTTTAAGTGATTTAACTGAATATCTCTTAAAGTAAAAGAGATTGAAAAAATTGTTTCAGACAAAAGTTGTTTGGTTCAAAGGGGGACATAAGATGGTGTCATTGGTTTGACCATGGATGGTCGTTTAAAGCTCACGTGAACGACACCTTTAATTTCTTAAATGGAAACCCCTATTTTTCAATACATATTCTTGTAGCTAATCCCGAGAGCTTTTCAAAACACTATAATAAAGTATTTTTTCATTAAGAACTTTTGGAATTATAAGGCTTGAAAGTTCTAGTATTTTGACATAAAATACAAAATATCTTGTAAAACAGTTTTCGGTAATGTTACCTTAATACTTTTATGCGCAAAATAATGAGACAAATCAATTGGTATGAAAAAAAAACATAGTTGCTTTTAAGAAAAAGTATGCAGATGCGTGTTGCAAATTACATATTTTTTCTTAAAAAAACTATGTCTTTTTTTCATATCAATTGATTCGTCTCATTATTCTGTGCATAAAAGTTTTAAGGTAACATTACCGAAAAATTAATGCACAGAATAATGAGACGAATCAATTGATATGAAAAAAAAACATAGTTTCTTTAAGAAAAAATATGTAATTTGCAACACGCATCTGCATACTTTTTCTTAAAAGCAACTATGTTTTTTTTTCATACCAATTGATTTGTCTCATTATTTTGCGCATAAAAGTATTAAGGTAACATTACCGAAAACTGTTTTACAAGATATTTTGTATTTTATGTCAAAATACTAGAACTTTCAAGCCTTACAATTCCAAAAGTTCTTAACGAAAAAATACTTTATTATAGTGTTTTGAAAAGCTCTCGAGATTAGCTACAAGAATATGTATTGAAAAAAATGGGTTTCCATTTAAGAAATTAAAGGTGTCGTTCACGTGAGCTTTAAACGACCATTCATGGTCAAACCAATGACACCATCTTATGTCCCCCTTCGAACCAAACAACTTTTGTCTGAAACAATTTTTCCAATCTCTTTCCTTTAAGAGATATTCAGCTGAATCACTTAAAATGATACACCCTGTATATATATATATATATTAGCAATTTATATGTATATGTATATGTATATTTAGCAACGTATTTTTGGCACTTTGACTTTGATAAACCTTGAGATTGTACGTAAGAAGGCGCAAAATTATGTATCACTCGTCCTCAAACAGGAGCATCGTTTTTTGTACTCATCCAACACGTTTTACATAGCAATACGCATCGCGCGTGCGCGCACACAAACATGCACACTTTAACCCTTTACCGCGTCGTGATAATCAACCCTCCTTTTCTCCTCGCTGACAGTGTGACGCGTCACGTTCGTTTCCGATCATTGTTAGTGCCGCTATTTGTTTGTATGTCCTCGAGCGTTGATGTTCGCAAAGACAACGGCTTTATCGTTCCTTCGTATATCCGATTTTCGCGTGGCGTGGCAAAGGTAAGTTGATCTGTCAGTCGAAAGCGCGGGAAAACATATGAAAATTACAAGTGAAACTCCTGACTGCTAATCCAAATGTGTTATTTTTACATACGCATAAACGTCTAGAATGACAATCGCTGAAAAAAATGTCCCGGTCGCGAGAGAAGACGTGCGATAAAGGGTTGACACAAACGGTTCATAAACTCGCGCGATTCGTCAAGTTTCAAGTCGATTGTAAACTCTAAGCAAGCTGTCGGTCTCATCCGTTCGATTTACTCTTACATCATCGTTCGTTCATCACTCTGCGAATAACGATTGCTCAAAAGTACATGCTCGTAATTTAGATCGCTCGCACAACTATCTAACGTTGTGTTTCTCGACGTGGAGGCTCGACCCCAAAGAGAGGAAGCGGAGACAGCTTGGTAGAGGATGTAACCGCCTATTACTAATAATCACACGCAAATTGTATATTGTTAATTTCTCGTAATTGATAATCTTTTTTTACCTCTCGCAAATAAACGCAATGCTTACCTAAAACTAGTTACTAACCGTTTTCAGTCCTCTTGCGATTATTTAATTTATCGGAATGTTTGCGACGCAACAAGGGAAAATTGTAACTGCGAGAGAGAGAGAGAGAGATTCTCGCGGTGGGGATTTGAGGGAGAAAATAAATGTATAAATGCGTTCTTAAAGCGCGAAAATCCGCGAAGAATGAATGCCCAATTTTCCCTCATCGCCTTTTATTATGTACCATAATCTGCCAAATGCGCATAATGTTTTTACCGTTTCATATTGCATATCATCATTTTAAACCCGACTTTTTGTATAGGTAGTTAACTTTTTAATAAGAAAGTAGATGTTTCACACACGACAAATTGAGCAGCGCAAGTAAATAAACAATGTGCAAACGGATTTTCAAGCAAAACTTTCCTAGTAAGTAAAATGATAGCAGTCTGTCGGCAGATTGGTAACAGATTTGATCAGACATGTCAGCAGATTGACATCAACTGCGTCCGCATTCAGTTTATGTTCTGCCAGCAGTCTGCTAACATAATCAAACAGCAGATTGGCAGCAGAAATCGCGCAGACAGAGCCTACTGATAGACAATGTGAGCAAATTAGCAGCAGAAACCACGCAGAGCCTGAACGGTTCCAGCAGAATCTGCTCGATTTCTGCTGCCAATTTACTGTCTGGTTATATTAACAGATTTTGTTACACTTCTGTTGGCGTTCTGCCGACATCATGTGATATATCAGAATCTGTATCAAATCTGTAGTCTTTCTGCCGACAAAATTTGTAGCAGATACTTGGCAAGATCTGCTTTCGACAGATTTAGCTGTATGGATTCTTTTAAATTATACTCGCGTTTTTGTCCCTCCTTTGAAAGACTTTTATTAAAGTGACGATGTGTTGTTAACGTGCTCTCGGTGTGCATATGTATCCGTAGTTTTACATAAAATGTGCAAATATCACGAGGCACGTACGACTTTGTATCTTTGTATTCGCGGAAAGACGAACGTTAATATCTGCCGCGGGGAGGGTTAAACAAAAGTCGGAGGCAACGAAGCATGGAAGCGGAAACGCGGGACTTGATTTCTGGACACACGTGAGATTAGCATGTCGCTCCCTGATCGCGAGCAGAGGATGGGTTCGAAGCATGGTTTTCGCATGAATAGATTTTTTATTCGCAAGATATTTATTTTGCATTACGGCCGATAACAATAAGCATAACAATTTTGCATAACGGTACATGACGAGTCGTGTCTTGTCTCAGGCATTTTTCGTTGAGACTGTCGACGTTTTCAGATCTGGACTTATTGTATTTTTCTAGGACATGCAGCGCAATGTAAGTTAAATAAACTGACATTTTTCCCGCGACATCTAAAGTAGATGTAAAGAGTAAAGAATAATGAATTTTCTTTTGGTGCAATACAAACAGAAATGTATTATATATATATATGTACAAGGCGTGTTTAAAAAAAACCGAATTTTTTAAATAGCGCACCAACTGGCACAGAGAGTAACACTGCGGCTATGGAGGACACCTAGCAGCTAGCAGCAGGTTTTGACAACAAACTGCTATTTGCCTCGTTCCTCTATAAATTAATATTAGTCGTCAAGCTAGACCCGCTGAACTGATCTCGTGCACAAGCTGTTCGTTGGATTAGTGACAAAGTGACAATGAAACCTGCTGCTAGGTCGCTAGGTGTCCTCCATAGCCGCAGTGCACTCTCTATGCTGCTTGGTGCGCTATTTAAAAAGTTCGTTCTTTTTTTTTTAAACACGCCTTGTATTGCATATATTGTATTATAATCGCATTATTTTGAAACACTTTA